TGCTTGGCATTCGGTAGATATTAGATTATTAGAAAGATGAGCCTCTATAAAATTTCATTTGCTGTGCAATGAATTGATACAAGTCTGTATCCTTATGATGTTGACAGCTTTTCGTCTTTATCTGGTTTGGGCAAAGCTTTGTGCTTTTTGAGTTTTTCTACATTTAAAGGATTGTTTTCAGTGAGCGAGGAATTAAAAAGAGAAGTTATGTAGTGCAATGCTAGAGGACCGAAATGTCTTCCATTTTGTATAGTTTGATTTTGAGTCGAATGGGCTAAATTGGTTCCGACTTTTATTGTCTGAATTTTTTTTTTATTTCGTCGTTGGTACGGCAAATTATATTTTCATAATAATATTTGTTTCTGAAATAGATTTTCAGTTTATGTTTAATTTGTGACATCTTTTTTCATGACATCAATGAGCGTCTGCTCAAATATTGTCGGCTTTTTTCTATCCTAATTTCACTCTGGCACTTGCTTTTCTCGTATAAAAAATTTCGTTCGCGGCAAATCGTGATATTTATTTTTTGAAATATTTTTTTCCGATATCTTTTTCATCTTGTTCAGCTTAATGAATTTCGTCAGTTTTAGTAATTAAGCTTGTCATAATATGCTAGTGATGCTTCTCCTCTGTATTTGTATTTTATAATGGTCTCTTTTAGTAATATGATAATGAGGTAATTCTTTAACAAGCCAGCTTGCGAGCGTAGTGTTGTACGATTCTTGCCTCATTGCCATAAAGTTCGCCCATTTTTGTTTGCAATTTTGTTTTTTTTAGGATAATTTGCTTAAATTTTCTGCACATAAACTGTTACTCTGTAGAATATTAGCAAAAATTTCTGAAATTAACTGATGCTCTTGATTATCCTATTAACCAATCAAGAACAAAATTTTGATTTCAGATTATTATGAAGATAGTTCAGCAAAATGGCCTCTAAGGATGCAGAGTCAACGTGTACAAATTGCGAAGACGTCGTTCCTTCCGAGAGTATTTTGAAATGTGTGACTTGTTCAGATAAAGTAGCTGATCCGCAACAACCATTGGAACTTCTGTGCGGCGACTGCGTCAAATCTCATGTCAAGAAAAGCCACAAACTTGCTGACAGTAGAGGATTCGAACCATCAGTCTGCAGAGAACATAACCAACTCTCTTCTGAATTCTGTAAAACATGTGAAAAACTTTGCTGTGTGAAATGTCTCAGAGACCATAGAAAGCACGAATTTGAGCCTCTGAAAGAAAAGGCCACGGAAATCCGAGCTAAAGTCTTTGAAGCTTTGACACGATGGGAGTTATATGAAAAACCAGCACGAGCGCAAAAAGAGTTGGTATCTACAGTTATCATTAGTCAAAAGGAGGATGTCGAAAAACTGCTTAGTTATATTGAAAAGAAAATTGACGAAATGAAAACGAATGTTGTTCGCGAAATTCAAAGCAATTTGGTTGACTTGGAAGATTCTATGAAGGAAATTGAAGATCATATTTTGAATGTAGTTGATTTGCAGCAAGAGTTGAGAAGTTTGCTTCAAACCTCCGAAGGTGCAATGGTGGAAAAGTTTGGGGAAACTTTGAAGGTACTCGACAATCGCCTTGAACGGCATAAACAGATCGAAATATTGAAATTTGATGATTATGATCAAATTCCTGATGCTGGATGCTTGGACGTTTTTTTTGAAACAAGTTTTGTTGAAGTAAAAAAAGAACTTAAAAAGGCCGCTAGGGAAAAACAGGATTGCTTTGCTTCTAGCAAATCTTGTCTCGCTTCAGCCGTAATTCATCGATCTTACTTTTCTAAACTGGACGGGCATGTCATCTTAATAGAAAGCAGCCAAATTGGTTTCAATATCTGTCAGTTTTCCGTAGACTCTGGAGCTCAACTTATAAATCAACAGAAAATTAGTGCCACTTTTGTGCCTATGTGTCTTGTGAGTTTCATTTATTATATCGACGATTCTTTTATTCTTATTCTATTTGAAGATAAATCAACTGTTCTTCTTAGTAGCTTAACTGGCAAAGAGGTGAAAGATATCCATGCCCCATACCCCTTATTATCCAATTTCATTACGCCATTTATTGTTGCAAATAAAGTTGAATGGATTTGCTGGGACGCTTCAATCAAAGCTTTATTATCTACCTATGATGAATCACATATTAAATGCTGCAGCAAACCGAATAACCACCTTTCTACTTTTTCTTCGGATTATCTGGGGTACTTCGAGACCAGGACAAAGAAAGCAATCGCCATCAGAAGGAGAGATGGCATTCTTGTTGCAGAAATGATACTTTTTTCCGTTCACCGATTGAACGTAATAGATCATGTAACGTATTTGAAATCTTGTACCGGGACTATATACATGGTACTGTGGAGCAAGGAATCCAATCTCTCTCTTATTTTTAACCAGATGGCGAAAGGGACTTTCGTAGTCAAAGAGAAGGTTGATTGGAGTTGTGGACCAGTAATCGAAACATTTATACTGAAAAAATATCTCGTTCCAGAAGTATTCAGTGACCATCCCTGTAAATATATAGATGCTTTTCTTGTATGTAATGAGCCTCCTAGTGTCTTCCAGGAGGAAAACGATTAAAACTACGAAGAATAACCAAAAATTACTCGGACAGCGATTCTTAATTAAATCTTAAATCTGTATAAATACATTTTGATTAAAATTCTGAATGAAATCTATCTATTTTTTAATTGAGCGAGAAATTTCATGCCATTTTTAAGACGCCGCTATGTCGACTTGTTTAAGCGTGATATGCTATCTCTACATGACTTAGCTACAGTCTATATTTTTGAAGCTATGCTGTGCAAATAGGTTAAAACAAAATAAACTAAACGTGAGATCTGATATTTATTTTTTTTAGCGAACGAAAAATACAAAGTTAGTTCACTTAAGTTTTATTTTTTTGAAAATACTCAAAATTAGAGTAAATTCACAGCTGCATCGAAAATTTTTGATATCACTAATTTTTGATTTGACAGCACTTCAAGATTGCTTGGTTACAGTTTTTACTATCCTTGTATCTTGCAACTACGCAAAGTCCTACATCTACTTCTGCAGTATTTCAGTTGTAACCTTTTTACGTGCGATTTCTGGAACCAAGTTGCTTAAGGGGAAAAAATTAAGTACCCGGTTGCAGCACCTTTGGTTATCACAAGGGTAATTAAAAAAGTATTTTTTTGCTATCGAACCTTTTGTACTCTCAAGGGTTACAGATGATCTCTTAAATGTGACTGCTCAAATAAAAGAATCCAAAATATGACGTTCTTTATTGATTTTTCAAGGTAGATTTGATTGTTTTTTAATGATTTTGTAAGGTTGATTAGACAATTTTTTCAAGGTAGTATTTTGTGATGATTTTTTGAAGAAATTATATTTTAAAAAAATTATCAAGAAATTCACAAAAAAAAATATGTTGCTGTGCTGTCATGGTACTCCCAGGGATTTCAAATCTGGCATCCAAGTTTATCTGCTCAAACTTTGTACTTTCCAACCTATCACTTTTTTTTAAAAGATTTTTCGAAAAGTTTTCAAAAAACTAGCATGATATTTTTATGGAAACTAGGCGGGACAATGCATCAAGTAATCTGGAAATAACCTAATTAAGTAACCATATTCTGTACACAGAAATACTCAACAAATGCGTCAACCATTTTAGACGAAATTTCAGACCATTCAAAACGATGAAGGTAAATTAGAGGAAATTCTCAAGCGATACCCCTTGACGAGACAAATTAAACAACAGCTCGAAAAGGAAATATGAAGGAAAATCAAAAGAGAATTTGGTCAAAGTTGGGGTTGATGTGCCGATTTTTACTTCACATGGTCGTTTCTTTCTTGTTTAAACTTGCGAGCTTACAAGCGTTTGTGTATTAGTACTCACCTTCTTTTTTGTAGCCTAACTCGCAATTAAAAGTGGTCATTACAAGTGTTCTCTTATTTGGTGTAACTTTGGCTATAATCACGATCTCTAGCATTAGAAGTTTCATAACATCTGTTCTTTGTTTTATTTGTGGCTAGTTTTTGTGATGTATTCAGCGTCCGTGGCTGAGTGATTAGTTCGACAGACTCATAATCTCTAGGTCGCAGATCGAATCCGAGATGTAGCCGAATTTTTACTAATTCGAGGCTTATTTTCTACTCTCTTATTGTTTTTTTAGAGCTGCTTTTTGTCGTGTTCTCGCTAAAGTTTTCTGATAATTTTTTTTTGAGTTTTCTACGTCCCTCATTTTGAAAAGCTTTTTGATGGTTTTTAAATCCTTTTGTGTCAATGGCAACTGCAGCAACAGCTCGAACAGGATATATCAACTGGAATTTGTAGAACATTAGGGTTGCTATGCTCATGTTCACTTCACATCAATTTCAACGTGCTTTAAACTTTTCTCTGCTCCTTTCGTTTTTTTCTTCCCCTTCATTTGCCCTTTCAAAGAAAAAAAAACTAGGTTTTAAAGGCTTTAAAAAAGTGCATAAGCATAAGCATGCTCGCTCAATTTACTTTCTCGGAATATGACCAAAAAACTGATTTTGAAAATTTTTTGATGTCGTTCGAATCACGACTTAAATATGCTACATCACTCCACCTATTCCGATTATTAATTATAGTATCCGATTTTTTGAGGTTTGCGTTCAGATCTTCTCATCACACCACGAGCAAAACGCAATGTATTTTGAAAAAATCCTAATATTAGTGGTCGGAACTTTCTGGGTTTTCTGCGCAACAACCGGCTATTCTAGTTTTAGCTTAGATTTGATGCGCAGTTTTGCTTAGAGTTTTCTGTTATTCTTGGTTTTTACTCAATAAATAAAAAATTAACAACACATCGAAGATATAACTTAGTAAGTGCTTATATGATTTTCAGTAAATTTGTATTCCGGTGTGACGATATTTGAAATTGAAAAGCTACGCTGAAGCAATTTGACTGGGCTATTTAATCGAGCTATTTAATCAAATATATTGATATTAACTGTCAACTGGGAAAGTTTTTGAATTTTTCAAGTAAAGTATGAGTAGTGAAGACTGCTATCTTTACGCTGACCTATTTAAGGAAGGCTTGGACCATCACGCTCCTAGCAGCAACAAAAAGAATAGAGCAATTTCTTCTATTTCTATGGAGTGTGATTCTTTTTTAAACGGAGAGAACTCTGCTCCCGTTGAAACTTGTACCAAATCTTCTATCGTCTCAGGGCAAATTTATCAGGAAAAATCTGTAGAATCGAAACCAGCGGGTTCTGGTGGGCCAACAATTGAAGAGCTTGACAACCAATTATTGGGACAGTTGTTCAATGCAGATGGGCAAAAAGATACACTTATCTATCAAGTAAATAGGTTTTTGATTGAAATAGTTTGTTTTTGCAAAAACGGAAGATAGCTGAAATTACTACTTCGTTTTAGATGAAAGCAGAAAACCGACGTCTTCGAGAAGAAAAGGAAGAATACGAATTGGAGGTTTGTGATACTTGATTATCTTCAATCACTCGCTTTTTAAAATATTGATTTTCTTAAATTAGCAATAGCAAAATTTGTTGCTCGTGAAATCAAGGGTTATGATAACTCGATTGTAGGAGCATACCTAGATAAAATAGAGGTGAGGTGAGGTGACCCGCTTTTTAACCCTATTCTTCTGCAGCATATAGGATTGTATTCGTTTAAGAGTAGATATTCCTAATTAAATGAATTATGCGGCCCAATTCATCTATATATCTATCTATCTAGCCATCAAGTATTTTTCAAGGTTTTTTCATTTTTTGTCAAAAAATTTAGATAAAAAATTTTTCATGATTTTTTTATTTTTACTGTCAGAAATTTAGACAAAAACTAACTGAAATTGAATTTCTTAACCCTATAGTGTGGTGCTATCAGGGTACACTTAGAGGGGTTTTAAATCTGGCCTCCAAGTATGACTGCTCAAATCATTTTGGTTTTCGAGAAGGGCGTTTTTTATGATTTTTTAAATTTTTGTACAAAAAAAAAGATACAAAGGAAAATTAATGGAACTTGCAATTCTCAACCCAATTGTGGGGTGCTATCAGGTTACACTCAGGGGTTGCAAATTTAGCGTCCAAGTATGACTGCTCAAAATCTTATGGTTTTCCAGATAGGCGTTTTTCATGATTTTTTCATTTTTTTTGTCAGTAAAGTTTGATATAAAAACTAACCGAACTTGAATTTTCAAACCTATAGTGGGGTGCTATCAGGATACACTCAGGGTTTGCAAATTTAGCGTCCAAATATGACTGCTCAAATTCTTATGATTTTCCAGAGAGGCGTTTTTCATGATTTTTTCTCTTTTTTGTCAACAAATTTAGATATAAAAAACTAACCGAGCTTGAATTTCTCAACCCTATAGTGGGGTGCTATCAGGGTGCACGCAGGGGTTTTAAATCTGGCTTCCAAGTATGACTGCTCAAATCATTTCGGTTTTCGAGAATGGAGTTTTTTTTAGTTATTGTTTTACAAAAAGAAATAAGGTATAAAAAAATGCAACTTGCAAAAAAAATACAATGGAACTTGCAATTCTCAACCTAATGGTGGGGTGCTATCAGGGTACACTCAAAACCTGTAAATCTGGCGTCCAATTATGACTGCTCAAATTGTTCTGTTTTTCGAGTATGGCGTTTTTTAAGAGTTTTGAATTTATTGTTTTTCAAAAAACTTAGATAAAAAAATTAATGGAACTTGAAATTCTCAACCTTATGATGGGGTGCAATCAGGGTACTTTCAGGGGTTGCAGTTCTTCCCTCCAAAAATGACCGCTCAAATTTTTTTGGTTTTCGATATATGGCGTTACATATTCGGTGTTGCAAGTCTGCCCTCTAATTTTGACAGCTCAAATCCGAGATGTGGCGTTTTTTATGAAGTAAAAACGCCTGATATATGTGCCCAGTTCTTCTTCACGGTTGCAATAAGTTTTTTATTACATTTTTTTGGAAGCCCTTTTAACGTTCAACGATCTATTTGAAGCCCCGTAGGTGCGAGTCATGCGCTAGTTGTTATGAAAACTCAAATGGATGATATGTAGGTATGAAAGGGATCTAGGTAAATTAATGAATCTGCTTTAACTGCCCTCGCCGTAGTCGTGGATGATTTTTGATCTGTACACTATACTCGATGTTGCTTTGTCAGATGTGTTCTCTGAAGAAGAGGTGTGAGGTGCTGGAGAGGAACATCTCGGGGCTGTACAAGTTCACTGGCTACAACCTCCATCGCCAGCAACACAACATCGCCACTCTCAACCAAAAGTAAGTCATTCACATCCTAGCAAACGCTGTTAAAACGACAACCGCTATTGTGGTGGGACTCAAGACGATGCTGTTAGCAATTTCTATTTGTTTTTCTGAAAAATATTATTCGCTTAACTTTGAATAATTCAATTTACTGTTCAATTTATTGTTTTAGCCAATATTTGCCGTCTTAATAACATGTCGTCTTAATTACTTAGTACCAGTAATTTTTTGTAATAAACAATGATCAACATGATCAATTTAAATTTTTCATAGAACAGCAAAAAAAAAATTTGTATAAACTGCTGAATTTTCGGTTTTTTGCCTATTCAGCGCAATCAACCGTACAATCTCTCACCACTAAGTGGCCTACCGTACAATCCCCTCCCCAAGTATGTATGAGCTTTGAAAATTAGTTATGTTTAAAATTAGCATTTCATACAAACGCGCTAAATATAATTATGAAGTTTTTCATTCAATTCGTATTTTGATGTCTACAAATCATAAATCGACATTTTTATTATGTTCCGATAATTACCCTTGCAATAAGCAAGGTTATTGCAATCGGGTATTAGAGTTTTTTCACGTGAATAAATTTGGTCACAGAAAGGTAAATATTTAGAGAGTTTAAAATGGTAATATTACAAATATGCAAATTATGCACCGTATTTGTTTTGCTTGTATTGGGCTAGCATTTTAGCGGGTTTATGCAAATCGTTCTATGATTCTTTTGGTTCAATTGAGCTATCCGCCCAAGCAAAAACGGTAAAACACTACAAACAGAGGTCAGCAAACGCAAATAGATAGTAGATAGGTTCGTTGCACGCCTTCAAATGACCGACTAAAGTTTATTTTCTTGAGTATCTAGAAAAATTTTGAAAAATAAAAAATTGAAATTAAAAAAATTACATATTTTTATTGGGCGACCATTGCCTCGAGAAAAGCGAGTTACCAGGGTTGGTGTTGTAGCATTGTATCTGAATATCAAAAATTGTTCTCCGCAGCAGCTTAATTTTGTACGTAATAGCTTTTTTCCATATAGGACAGAAAAAAGTCGCTTTATGTGCCTCAGTTTTATTCATTTTTTTTCGCTTAGAATGTAATTTTGGAACTTTGATTTTGCAAATTTTTGCGTTCAACATTTTTTGAGATTGTGGTTTATGATTTCATAACATTCAAACTATTTTCAATTGGTTAAAAACATATCTCATGTACCTATTAAGCTATCACCCCCGCTCCCTCACACGAGGATGAGGGGAGATAGCTCAATTGATCCATATTTTTACTGAAAATATTTCGGCTGTTATTCAGCTTATTAAGTGTCGGCTTTAATTCTGTCGACTTATTTGCCTATTGTTTTTTAAGTTGTTTCCAGTCTTTTTGTTTGAATTTCATGCAGCTTTGATGAGTAATGTTTGGAAGTTTCAAATCACTTCTTTTAAAATCACTAGAAATTTTCGGTTTTTTAGGATTTTTAATCTAGTTTTTTTTTCACTTTTCAATAAAACTTTGTTCGGATTTTTTTCTCGATAGTTCATGATTGTCTTGCTGTTTTATCGTATTCTTTTCGGCGAAGGTAATTAAAGTCATGAGTTTATTCGGAATTTTGTCGGTGTAAGTTGCAATCAATTTTTTTGCATTGATTTTTATTTTGCTTTCTAGCCTCTATATTTTTGTAGAACGATAAATTCTCAAAAAAGACTCAGTGTTAGATGGTCTTAAGTGCTATCAGATCAATAGTTTTTTTTAATTGTTGTTATTCATGTTTTGCTTGTGATTTTCTATTTCTAAATAACAAATTTTGTTCGTTTTTGCTATTTGTTTCTTGTACATTTATGTTTTCCTCTCCTTTCTACTTTTTTTCTTTGCAGTTCAAGTTTAGGCTGACTAATGTGATTTTGATGATTCGATTTTATACCTACCAAAACTTGATGATAGTGAAAAAACGAATTGGCGACAGTTTTTTCGCCAGCATTTTCCTTATGGATAATTTTTCATCTTTTTTGTTTGGACTGAGTTCAAGGCAGCTTTTCCGTCCTAATTTCTCGTCGTGTCTGAACATTTTTGCGTGCTAATTGATTTAAATTAATGGCACATCGAGTTTTTGCTTTCTGGTTTTAGAAATCCGTTTAGATTTTTTAGGACCATTTATCCCGGTTTTGTCTGCATAGTTACCGCTCGGTTACTTTTTATGCCAATTCAATGCTGGCTGTTGTGTTCCGCCACCGGTTTCATATTAAAATGAGTTTCATTTTGAGACAAACATATTCAGATAATCAATTTCGGGTGTTGTTTTTTGGTGTTTTTTTTTCAAATTTTTTCACGATTTGGTGGCTTTATGTAGTAAGTAATGCGCCTCTGTGTTTAATCTTGAAAGTAGTTGATATAAAATTCTCTGCAAATTTATTGTGTGAAAAACCAGTTGATCCATTTTTTTTAGAGTTTTTTTTGGATTTTCTCTGTTCTGGGCAGTGATGTGCATTTAAACAGTTTTTAAAGGAAAATAAAAATTAAAAGGATAACAATTTTATTTAAAGGATCCTTTAAATGATTACATTACAGTAAACATTGTAATCGAAGTTTCAAGTTCTCAGTTTTTAGACGATTTCTTCTGCATTCCGTCAGACTCTGAGCTTTAGAGAACATTCTTTCCGCTAATGCAGGCGAGGGTATTACAGATAAAATAGCTTTTGCTACTTTCGACAACCTTGGAAAACGTTTGTTTTCTCGTTTGAAGAAGTCAAATGCCAAAATGTCCTCATCGATAGCAAGAAAATCAGAAAATTTTTTATTGAATGTCGTACACAGAGACGTGGGGTGCTGTTTCTCGGGACACACGACATTTTTTTAAAATATGTCTTCAATAGGATCGTCAATAAGTTCAATTGTTTCACTTTCGGCTACTGTAGCTTGTAAAATGTGGGGTTCCTCAGTCGTCAAACTTCGGCCCATTTCTTCTAGGTACAACTTTGCTCTTTCTTCTTCAGAAGGCATCAGTGCTGATCTTTTGTCTTTACTTGGACTCAGCAAGGTTGCCGCACAAAATTGTTTATTTAGTTCACGTAATTAAGTACTTTATTGATGCAAAGGTAAGTTAAAACAATGTTACATTCAATTCAACGTGCATAACATTCCTCCAACATTGCTAGTAATAGTTGAAAGAGCGTAACATCCAATTACATTCTAGTTCATAACGTAATTACGTGCATAACATTCTGTATATCTATGCAAACACATAAGAAACCAACCAACATAAACCGCCAACCAATAAGAAGCAAGCACAAAGACTGGCTCTATGACGCAAGGCAAGCGACTAATCCTTTAAATAAGTTGTAATTTTTAGAGGATCATTTAAATGAAATCCTTTTAAAGGATTGGTATAAAAAGGGCATAAAAATTAAAGGATCCTTTAAATATCCTTTAAAAGGATTATTTAAATGCACATCACTGGTTCTGGGTATAACTTAAGACTTATTTGAAATAAAACATTTTGAGATCCTGATGAAGGATGATTTGCTACTTCTAGCCAATCAGATTGACGAAAAAAAATTCAGTTCTAGTGCTGAAAAAATGATTTTAGGGCGGAATAAGTAACAAAAACCAGAATTTGCTCTATACAGCAGCAGAGTTCTTTGGGGCCTGGTTTGTAATGCCAATTCAGATTTTCTTTTGCTGGAATTAATTTCAACCCATCAAGTTCTAACTTCAAATAAACAAATAGACTGTTTTTGGGCCGTATAACAAGACTCGTTTTCAGCACGTTTTTTCACATTTACCAATATTTATTTCATTTTCGGCCTGAAGTCTCTGATTTCGCTATTGATCCTGAATTTATGACGGCTTGGTATCCCACACATCCAATGTTCATTACATAATGACAATGGTGAAATGGTTTTCCAAAATTTAATTTCAAAGGGGTTGGAACTTCTTCGACGCCTTATTGACATCGTTGAAGCAATAAATTGAACGATTTCGAGGCATTGTTTTTACATTAGTTTTCCTGGACTCTTTTTCACTTCCCCATCTTTCAAAAAATGTGATTATGGCCAAACGCGTGATATTACGATGTTCTCAATTGTTCACTTGTTCTCCATGCCAAGTTTCATTGCATTATGACAACGTTAAATTGGTTTTTCAAAACTGAACTTGAAAGGTGAGGGGGGGGGGGTGGAAACGAGCCATTTCCTGTTAGTAAAGTACCTTGAGCCGGTGAATTCCCATAGGTTCCAATATTCATAGGTTCCAAAATAAAAAAGCAGTCGCATAAGTTCCAAAATTTATCGTCTTGAATTCTGATTGGTTGAAATTTGAGCCAACGAATTTGTGGATCGATTGTTTACTGTTCAACCAGCATAAACTCAAGCTGTAGAATAGTGACCGCCGCAGCCGCGCCAACGTGTTGCGAGCTTGCCACCAAAAGGAAAGACTATGTACCAAATTTAGCCGGTTATCGCCGCTAAGTGGCGACGCGCGCGTAGTGCGCCCACCGGCGACCTTAAACCGAGACTCGGCTAATTTAGTCTTTTGACCAATTGAAAAGATTTGGAACTTGTGCGACTGCTTGTTATTATGGAACCTATGGGACTGATTTTTTTTATTTTGGAATATGAATACGCGTGATACCCTTGAGCCGTAAAACGGTTGAAAAGATGAAAAGTACCTAAAAACCTAAAACATATTTGTCACCACGCGGGCTCGAACCGCGGACCTTGTGCGTGTGAGGCACACGTGATAACCACTACACCATGGTGACTTGGTTTAGCACGGAATTGTTGCATATATAGACCTTTTGTTCACGCTGACACGTTTTAACGCAATTTATAACGTGAAAAGGTATTTGAATGCTGTCCTCTACTCGACCAGGTTTCTGTATCCACCTTATGGTAAAGGACCATAACACAATTAATCAGAATCTGCTCTTACCATAACAAATTCACGGGTACCGGACTTCAAGCCGAATCCTTCAAGCCGTAAATTTTCTTATTAAGTCATGAAATTTTAAAACTTTTTTAAAGAAT